ATCAATGAATAGGATAATTACGCATCACCATATTCAATTAGTAGTAAAATTACGTAGAATAAAGCATAAAATAAATAGCGCTGATGATTTAATAACAACACCGGAAAAGAAACTGACAAAGAAGCGAGCTTTCACAGCAGCCTATTCCCTGTGGACCTCGTTAGTATACAGACGTGATAATTTTTAACTACCGAACAACAACAAAGCGAGATTGTAGACACCATCGTATGCAGAAGACGGAAGATGAAACTGGTGAGAGCACGCGAGATTTTCCCTTCCTTGGAGAAGAAATGAGTACCTTCTCTGAATTTAAGTCTTGATCAGGAGTGTATGAATAGATCATTTCCTGATTCCCACGGCCTTTTCTATTAACCGATCTGATCTGTAATTAACCGAGAGTAAGATAATTGACTGTTCCTTCACTTTTCTCTCATCGTACAATTTGACCGACTGATAGACCAAACCCGTGACATTTGTGACTGCAAGTTATGAGCACATCGATGTGCGCCTATCAGAATATGCGACTCATGCCTCGAATTGCAGAAAAAGAGCACTAGATTATTTGACTTTTGGCAGACCATCGGTGAATATTTTTTAGGATAGAAGTGACATTAAAATGATCGCTTAATGAAATACAGTAAAAATTAATTAACCTGTAGCTCTAATCTCCCCCGTAAATTTCGTGACCGGGTTACGAAGGATAACGCTTGAGTACGCCAACGATATATTGGTGAAAATGTCGGCCACTTTCAACGTTAAAAAAATTGCTGACCGGGCGTTCCTGAGAAGTTCTAATTATTTTAATTATTTTAATTGTTTTAATTATTCTAGTTATTTTGTAAACGCTTTAGTTAGCACGCAAAAAAAATACCCGGAACCAGCTGACGTCACTGTTGACCGACGGATAAGGAGAAATAAACATATAAGTATTTTTGTTTAATTTACCTGCGTTCAAAAGGTTCTTCTACTTCTGGCTCTGATAGTTTCCGGATCAAGATAAAGATAAAAGAAGATAAAGATAAACTTACAATAAAATATTAATATAAGTATTTCAAAATTTAATGAAAATAAGTTTGGCCAATTATTCGAAAAACTTCTTTTCAAACATAATAAAAGTAAATTTATTGAAAAAGTACTCGATTCACCTCACAATACGAGGTCTGTCGAGAAAGTATCGGGTCTACCTTCATATCTCCACGATGGCATTATTCATCATTGAGCGGATGGCATTCTTCCCACTTGATTGAATAACATTCTTCCATCAATGTTTCCACTTTTCATAAAAGTCTTGGAACTCATGTTTAGGGATGGCCTTGAGTACACTTTACGTATTATTTCAACTGTTGTTTTGTCATCGAATCGCTGTCCTTTCAGTGGTTTTTTAAGTTTGGGATAAAGCCAAAGTTACAGGGGATACGTGGGGACTGTACAGAATTGTAGAAGTAATGCAATAGTGTGGTAACTCAGAAACTGCTGCACAAGATTCAATGAATGCGAAGCGCATTATCGTATTGGAGAAGCCAGTCACTACTTGACTAAAAATGACGGCGTTTTTTTCTCACTGCTTTACGCAAACGTTATCAAATTTGGAAGTAATATTCTTTATTGATTGTCTGACCTACCCGCTCAACAGAAGCTTGATAAACTGATTTGAACGAGAAACCAAGGTCTGATTTAACTTTGAATCTCATTTTCAAGGTTATTTCAAGATCAACCTCATTTTTTCATATGAGAACCCCTATTTTTTATACTGGAATAAAAAAGAGCGATACATTTTACAGGTGGGAATGATTCAAGTCCGAAGATATCGTAACTCCTAATCCTCCTTTTAGCGCTATCCAGGAATAACGATGTGGACGTAGAAGGAATCTGTTCCCTTCGGGGTGCTTTTTTATAGTGAGTTCCCCTTGCATCTCACTTCGGAGTGCTTTTTAATAGTGAGTTCCCTTTGCGTTTCACGTAAATGAATTTACAACACATGTTCAAATTTTTTTCCATTCGCTTCTTAACAGTAATCAATCCTATTGTAGAATGATTGAGTTGCATTTTGGATCATCTGCCGTGGAATGGCATTAATTTCTTGAACTATTCTACGTCTTAATTCTTCAAGATTTTATGGATTACTTCTGTATACCCGATCTTTTAAATACCCCCACAAAAAATAGTTCAAAGGGCTTAAATCGGGAGATCTTGGAGCCCACTCTACTGTATCTCTTCTACCTATACATCTATCAAAAAATTTTTTATTGAGGTATTGTTTGACATTTACACCGTAATGAGCTGGAGCATTATCTTGCTGAAACCATGTATTTTCAAAATCATCACCTCTGGATCACCGGATACTTAGTTATGCCTTAAGGCCCGCGGGAGCGTCGTGAATCCAGCAGCTAATCTTCGTATCAATTCGTCTACGGGGAAATGTGGAAGGTTGTAGAGATGGGTGTAAATATGAGGAAGGCGTACATAAGACAAAACGACATTTATATAATATAAGGGTTTACAAGGAATGCAGCGTAGCGATAAAGAGAGAGAGAGAGAATAACAAGCCAGCGAGAGAGAGACAGAAGACACGAGAAGGTACTTATATAGGACGATAGGACCACAGACTAGTCCTACTTGACGCTCAATCACTGCGAATCTGGCGACTGCCTAGTACCCGCTTACTCCCACACACTCTCTCACACTACACTCTCGATACGCAAATTACAATTGGTAATTTCTCCTCTGATCTACCACAAGGCCAAGTAGAGGGTCGGAAAAGTAGTAGTCAGTCTTCAATACGAAAGCCGGCCGGCGAGAACACGTGTGCTTTCGGACGCGGTCAACCAGCTAGTCTCCCGGAAGAGTCCCCCCACTCTCTCTCCTTCTCGCGTTGTATTGTATGTACTCTCTCTCTCCTACCTTATACTCTATTGCCCGCTGCTGCTGCGACTTCTAGACATCGTACGTAAATTAATGCTATATCAAATAAAGAATTATGTGTAAGCATATGTATAGGTACATAAATAAATATAGTCGTCTGAGAAAGAGAGGCATAACGAGCGATTTATCACACGTTATAATGTAAATGAAAACAATTTTTTAATTAGTATTTGTAAAATCACTTCTATTTTATTTTAAAATTTTCACTTCTTTCAAATACCTTCAAAATAATTTTGTATTTCTAATAAACAATTAGCTTTACAGTTCATGAAAGAGAAGAAAACGTAACTTTTGACGAAAAAAAACGTGCCTTTCCAGTTTTTGACAATTTTAATGATATTTTATGCTCAAAATAGTGATTTTCTATTTTCTAAAATGAAAGATGAAGACTGCGAAAAAAATGAGATCCAGATGAACTGTGCAATGTGAAAAAAGTGTTGTCTTCTTTTTTCAAAATTCTAAAAAAATACGAGAAAGACAGATCATCAAATTACTCTTTATTCATTTTCTAGCAAAAATCAACCCTGTTTTTGTATTTTTAAAAAAATATTGTTTTCTCAGACGAAGCTACATGTTAATTAAATGGCGAAGTCAATCGCAATAACCTTAGATATTGGTACGACAAAATCCTCATTGGATGAGAGAAAGCCACACGTAATATCCTCAAAAATTAAACACGTGGGCATAAATAGTAGGCGATACATTAATAGGTCCCTTTTTTATCACAGGAAATTTGAACGATGTAACTTTTGTGAAATCAGATTGTTTCAGCTATCCAGGCGTCAAGATGTGATGATTTTGAAAATACATGGTTTCAAGGAGGATTAGGGGTCACGCTATCTTTGAATCGTTCCCACCCGTAAAATTTATCACTCTTTTTGATTTCAGTATAAAAAATAGAGTTTCCCATATGAAAAAATAAGGTTGACCTTGAAATAATCTTGTAAATGAGGTTCAAGGTCATATCAGAGGTCACCGTTGGGTTCCTCGTGGAAAGTTACATAGGGTTTGACCTTTGTTTCATGACTAACCTCATGCGGTTTTCCGAATTTTCTGAGGTTTCCATACTTTTACCTCTACCTGTATATGTATACAGTTTATGTACGTGTGAAAAGTGTATACAGAGTGGCACAGAGAGAGCGGCGAGTTCGGCAGAGCGAGAGAGACGTAAAGGACGCTTAGTACTTACATTCGGCGATGCTCCTTTGTTACGAATCGGCAAGGTTGCAGAACACATATTTACGTTTTGATACTCCTCACACGAAGCACAAGGTGCAGCACGCACAGTTGCACTTGCCAAGAGGCGGATCATAAACAAAACTAAACCGACAGGCACGTGAGCTATCAGCTTATTGCCGCCCCTTAGTCACGCGGCATGCGGCGCGCGGCTCGTCACACATAGTTATACATACACGCGCACGCGGTCTCTCTCTGCCGGCACTCTCTCTTACCTTGTTCTCCGAAGTTGTCGTCTGCTGCAGCTAAGGAAAAATATAAGTCGAAAAACATGGCATATTACAATTATTCTATATTACTGCCGTAGAGAGAGACATAATGAGCTGATATCAGACTCGTTATAATACACAAAATCATATATAATACTTTCTGGACAGGCCTCGTATAAATCCTAACAAAAAAGATTAGTCTTAAAAAAATGTTTTCCGTTCAAAATGCAAAATATCTTTCATAAATAAGATTATAAACGTAATAACTCCATGGGATATATACTTCAAAATTAAAAAGATTCAGCCATAAATGACTGTCATAACAAGGAGCATGGAAAATCGCTACGATCATACGTCGTTTTTGCTCGATCAGGTTTGATAAATAAAATATCGGAAATAAAGGCGAGGTAAGGACACATATCATCCAAAGCATTTCTTGCACAAAAGCATTTTATTTGTTTCAGAACAGGCAAGAAAGAGAGAGAGGGGGGGGGGAGACTAGTCAGAGTAGTGAATACAGCTTTCTCGGAACAATAGAATAAGAATTTTGTTGGTAATATAGTAAAAATATTGATATTTAATTAGTACTGATTGCACAGGAATATATAATATTATTTTTTTTTGTTTACTTACTTTTGATTAGAACTTGCAAAGCTTGATTATCTAAATTACCATTATCGGTATGGTAAGGAATAACTGTTGTCAAATACTGAAACAGAAATCAAGTTTTTAATTATTATTACTAAATATTTACATTGTCTAATTGTTTAACTATCACAAAATTCTTCAACAACATTGAACTATTCACGGGCTTATAAAATAAAAGAAACATTTATAACTTTCTATAAGACTAACTAAATATACAGTTTATAGGTGATAAATTTGAACTAAATAAATTATAGACGGTCAATTTCAATGAATCAGGTTTGACCTATTACTTACAGACATGCTTAACCTGATTCGGCCGAAAACGCCATTCTTGGTATACCAGTCTTTTTGCGGTCATAACTAATGTTACAGGCAAAAAAAATTGTTATGGTCATATTCTAAAAGTTTAAGATATGCTTTTTCTAGTAACCACGAAATTTTTGCAAATATTGTTTACCTGAATAAAATACAATTTAGAAAAAGAACGATTATTCACACCTTATTTTTCTTTCAATTGAGTTTTCAATAAACGACGGAGTCATCGTACATACGTCTTTCAGTATTAACGTGGTCCGGAGACCATTCGATAGAATTCGCTGTTCGTAAGCTTTTCGTTATCGTCACTTTTTCTTTTCTCTCGCATACTTTCGTATGTAAGTTCGTTTGGGTGAACTACAACGCAGCATTCGTTCATTGTGCCCTCCACGCATTTTTCGACGACTTGGACAGCGTTTATGCAAACGGAAAGGAGCCGCCGGCACATTTGTAAGTACCGGCGTTATCCTCTCTCTCTCTCTCTCTCTCTCTCTCTCTCTCTCTCTCTCTCTCTCTCTCTCTCCCTCTCTCCCTCTCTCTCCCTCTCCCTCTCCCAACGGGGAGTTCATCCGGAAGCAAATTTCTACGCCCGAGGTAAGATAGCAGCAGGAGGATTGTCACAGAGAAGCCATTTGTGATTGCCCGTGGAGGCAATCATCTAGAAGTTCACAGAGCGCTGCTAACGCCTGCGCTAATGTATGACATAGCGGCAACGTTCCCACAATTCGCGCTCATTTGTGCACATACGCAAAGCAAACCAGCAATCCGTAGACGGCGTAGTCCCTTTCAAAATTATACCCCGTTACAAGCTCTATTAAATGATTTTTTTTTAATTAAGCACATATTAGGCGTATATATACGTACAACCTCAATCTTTATTATTAGGATATATTTTACTTAAAACAATTAATAAGGTTCTAATTCATTTTATTGATTATTCGTAAGTAAAATTTATGTAATTAGGTAAACATTTTATACGATCCTCTCAGAAAGTTAATCGCTATCGGATAACATAATGCATGCTGCTACCTTGCAGAGATTTTGAAAGGACAAACAGAGCAATCCGGCAGAACATTATGTTTATTATTTATTATAAGAGGCAGGTATTGTGTAATTAAATCAAATGTTTGCCATATGTTACTATCACCTATTATTTTATATTAATAAAATATATACATGTGATGATTTGAAATATAATCAAGGATGGACTTTACACTAGTTTCTCATAGCGCGAAGTATTCTATGAATCGAGCGTAAGTCGCAATAGGAAAGGGAAGGATTGCTTAGCTAATCACTAGAGAGAAACAACTTAGGTATAAGCCAAGTTTATTCAATCTCGATAATCCAACTTTATGTATAAAATTATTGCTATTTACACGAGCAAATAAGTATCATTAGATATAATATAATATATGTTGTATTTTCAATGCATTAGTTTAAATGTGTAAATGTATACTTCTGACTAGTTAAATTAATTTTAGTAATGTTGATAATTCAGATAATGATAAACTATCTAGGATCGTAAATATTTTTTTAATTAGCTAATATTTTTTGGTGTTTTGTTATCACCGCATACAATAGTTTAAAAGTCAAAATGGAAAAAAAAGAAAAGTAAGTTAACTTCAATTTTACTATATTCAGACTAATAAGAGATTTTAACAACTAATATAATGTTAGAGTCGACTCTGCATTTTTTATGAAAAACAGCCATGCTCAGGTCATATTATATCTAGTAAAAATCTTTCCAAAACGGATAAAAAAATTAATTAAAATGAGAGGTAAACTCCGATCCTAAAAGTTTAACACATGTCACAAACATGAATAACATTACCTTGAATTATATTTTACTAGATATATTATAAAGAAACTGATAGTCCCTCTCGTTATGTCTCTCTCCCAGTACTTTGATATATAATATCAATTATTTATTATATCTGAAATATGTCACACTATGTAACTTTCAGCAAGCAACGGCATGAGAGGAGAGGTAATACAACACGGTAGGTTATTGGGGAATGGAGAGAGGGACAGAAACAAAATGTAGGTCGACGGGCAAGGGTCAAAATATGAACTAATCGCCGCGGCTCAGATAGACTTTACCGCAGGAGAGGGAGAACGACTTTGACCATGTTGTTGCGCGTGACTGCTTCAGCTCACTTATTTTTCGCTATTGATACCGCCGTTTTGCTTGACTTTATTGTGTGAGCAAAAAATCACCACCACCGTTGTTTCCAGCGTTATCATGAAGGCTAGATTTACCCGCGAGGACTGCCTGTATTGCGAGCGAGCGAGTGCTAAGGGTCATCAACCAGTAGCCGTTCGTCTTGCGTTCGACGCAATTTTCTTATACGATAAAATAGGAGCTACCGGCACATTTATAAGTACCGGTGTTTACTCTCTCTCTCTCCATTGTCATATTGCTTGTCTCTTTCTCTTTCACACGCCTACGATATGTAACCTTTTCTTTTTTTCTTGTACAATTTTATTATTTCATTATATTTAATTTATATTGTAACTCTATTTAGTTATTTACCTCCGCCGGATGGCGTCCTTTCCCTTTAATGCATTACGATCGCGCATTTTACCTCTTCTTTCGTGTTTCCAGCAGCGAGGCAAAGACACATGACGCTCATTCCGGACCCGGGAGCTGGACCGCTCCATTGAAGGCATAACTACACTGCCGAGTCGAATGCTAACCGACCTACGTCGAGACTCGTGTCATTGTTCGATATCTTACGTTGCTATTTTCCGCTTCCACCGTACTTAAAATCTATTCGTTTCTATCGGCGACAATTAAAGTAAGCGACGTTGACGTTTTCTCCATTACAATACTTACTACTGCAATCAATTTAAAACTCATAACACAAAATTTGACTATCGATGTTCTGAAGTGAAATTGACGTACGGTCAATAGAGATAACCTTGATGTTATGCGCCGTTTGCGAGAAGTAATACAAAAAAAACGTCCGGAATTGTGGAAAAATAATTCATGGATTTTGCATCATGATAATGCACCTGCTCACTTGTCGTTGCTTGTGTCGAATGTGGCCAAAAACAAAACCACAATCATGTCTCAGGCCCCATATGTAACGGGCTGTTTGATAGTTAATAATAAAAATCGGTGAATTACTGCAAAGTGGTCCACGAAAGGCCAGCGACAGCTCTCCGTACTCTGAATTGCACTAGCGCAGTGAATTGTAAAATAATTTACAATTATCAATTTATTTATTAATTTTTTTGTGCTGTTACGCGATGAGCACCAGCGGTACTATTATTAAATAATTATTTCATCCTGCTATTCTTCCAAAACCTCCTCTGAAAGTCATCATATTAATAAAGGCTGATCACTTCAAGAATAAGAAAATAACCAACGCTATCGAAAACATTAATTGCAAAAAAGAAAAATAAGGAATTACTGAACAATCACCTCAGATACGTCAATTTACTCAAGAAATGCATACGGAAAATACATCTAACATGTATTTTATTTTTCTTTAATTTTGCGAAAGCGTATAGTAAATTTTCTTTATGTTGCCAGCGTATGTAAAACACTTTCTTGATTTTGCTTATATGTATACAGGGTAGGTTTTCTGATTTGTCCGCGTACGCAGTTAATATTTAATATTTCCAATAGCAAAATAAAATATGTAAAAGCGTATTAATAATTGCCGCAGAAGTGTATGTTAAAATATTTAAATAATTTTCTCACAAACATCTATTAAAATATTTGTAAAATCTGTCTAGTATATCAGGAGTGTGATAGCAATTAAAATGCGACTTGATATACATATTCATATGCTGCATTAGCCACACTCACTTATATCTATGCCTACGTTAAATAGAAAGAGATAGTTTAATAGATAGAAAAGGAGCTGAATGGTAAAGAAGGTAAGGCCGATAAGGAAGAAAATGAAGCAAGGAGAATAGAAGACCGAGGGAAGGATATAAACACAGACAAGAGCACGGACACAAGTGAAAATGAAAGAAATAGAGTAGGACAGATACTGGAGAAATTACAGGTTAGAATGGAGGAGATGGAAGAGCAAAGAAGAATTGATGGGCAAGCAGTAGAAATGGTGAAAGAAACGATAAGAATAGCAGTGGAGAAATTGGATAGAAAAATGTCAGAACTGATAAATCAAATAGGAGAAAAGGAGAGAAAACAAAAAGAGAGGTTGGAGGAGGAAATAGGAAAAATGGTTAGATGTGGCAAGTGTAAGACGGAGGAAGGAAAACAGGCAAACGAGAGAGCAGAAGACGAGAGCAGCGAAAAGCAAGAAGAGGAGGCGACACAGCGAGCAGATGAAGAGCAATAAGTAAACATGAACAAGAACGGCGTGGGGGGAGAGAAAGAGCTGGAAATGAATAAGCCGGACGCGATGAAAAAATCGGAATACAAGTTTGAGATGAAAGAGAGGAGAAATAGGAAGAATAATGTGTTTATCAGAGGAGTAACGAAGTCGGAAAGAAGATGGAAGAATGAAACAGAAGGAATAATAATGGGAATTACAAAAAGACAGTTCAAAATAAGAAGGATACGGCTAATGAGAGAAGGACTACTTTTAACATTTGAAAATTTTGGAGAAAAAATGGTGTTTATAGAACAAGCGGAGATTTTTGAAAAAATAGGTATAAGTGTAGAGGAAGATAGAACATGCAGAGAAGTAGAAGTGCAAAAATGGATTGAAATGGTAGCAGGTCAAGAAAGGAAAAAGCAAATAAAAGTGCAAGTGGGCTACCTAAAAA